CCCCAAAACCCCAAAACCCCAAAACCCCAAAACCCCATAATTTTTATAAGAATTGAAAATGAATTCTCTATCAAAATCAGTGAACAAGTTATCCTCTACGAAGAAAAATAGCATATGTAAGGTTTATTTAGGAGGTGGTTTCATCTGTTTAGATATTTTGTCAAGAGATAAAAAGAACGGGTCAAAGTCTCGGAAATAAACTGAAGGATATTATTAAGCGAAATGCTTACCCAGATGTAAGTAGTTATTTAAAAATAAAAATCCTGATTTCGCTCTAGCTCGATTCGAGCAAGAAGGACGTTCATTTTGATAAGAAGATTGGCCGATTACAGACCACTGCAAATGAAAGTCTGAGTTATAAGAAATAATAATAGGTATTTTGATAAAAGAAAGCATTCTATGAAGAAAAGAATTTTAAAAACTTCTCTTCAACTTCCAAATACTCGTTCAAACAAGAGTATGAACATCAGATCTGAACTAGGTAGTAAGTCCGTTCAGATAAAGGAAACATTAAATGCCAGAACAATGAAATAACCAAAGCTCAATGTCGCTAAACCAGAGGTTTAAAAGCCAAGTATTCGGAAGGAAACAGACGAGGAATGATCCCTATAATCAAGATTTACAAGAATCTTCTAAAAGCATCTCCTTTTCTCCTCTAATCAAGGGGGTCAAAAATGTATATAAAAATGATGCATTTGTAAATTCATATTCCCATTACCGTGATAGGAGGAACACTAGTAGCTTGTCCTCTTTCACCAACTCCCAGAACCTTATAGCTAGCATTGAGCTACAGAAGTACAGGAAGGCTAGTGAGGAGAAGCATAAGAAGAACTCAACTGAGAAGTGAGCTATAAATAGCCTGATCAAGAACACCCAGAAGCAGTTGAAGTGTCTTTCTTACAAACTGTCAACGGTAATTTCCGACGGAAATTACCATAACTTGTTAGAAGAAGGCCAGACCAATCGTGTCGAGGTGATCGAAGACACCTTGATTTACTGCAAGGTTGGTCTTAAGTACAAGTTCTCCCCTCTGACAATAAGGTACCGTTTAACATTCATTCTAGATTAAAGTACAACTCGAAGGAGAACCTGAAAGTGTTTTACTCCTCTGTAAGCCAGATGCCAAACATGAAGGACAATGAGTACCAATATTTTAAGCCAAGGAAGATCTGCATCTGGGCAGAGGGTCGGAGTAAGGAATTCGAGAAAGAATATGCCTATTTTACACTCTCCTGCCCCAACCAGATCTCTGTAGACATTCTAGTGAGATTCAATACCATGGAGAAAGCATTAGGAAGGAAATAAAATCGAGAAAATGGAAGAGTACAACCTAGAAGAAGACCTTAATAAAGAAATTGAAGCTCTTAATAATCAAGAAGTTTCCCCTAACCACCTTCCAATTATCCATAAAGAAGAGGTATCCGATGACATTATTAAGAAAAATATGAAAATTGCTAAATAAATGGAAGCAAATCCATGAGGAAAAGTTAGAAATTAACAAAAATCTTCGGCCTAAGAAAATGGAAGAAGCTAGGGTAAGCATTATGGACAATAGAATTATAATCGCCTTATATGTAGACAATGCACAAATAAGTTGTTTCTGCAGAATCTTAAACAGGTAAGAATCGATATTAACTTATTTATAGAAAAAGCATTTCCTTAAACGGTATAAAAGATATTTACCAATATAGATGGGATATCGTAAGAGAACTACGTGAGAAAGCTAGAATTCAAGATGAACGTATACAAAACCTAAAAATCTTCAATGGATTCTGGGCGAGGCTGTTCCAGATGCGAGAATTTCTCCTCAAAGTTCATAAAAAGTTCGACGATCGCAAACAAGAAATCCTGATGGACAGAAGAATGCTGTACTGCTCTAATAGGATCAAAAGAAACTTTAAAGTGAAGATTAAACAGTTTGCACCTACTTTAGACCAAAGACACAATAATTTAGCAAGATATGCCCTCGATTCGGTTATCCAGTACATTCAAGAACCCTCTGAGCTTCGTTCAAAAGACATCCTCCAGAACTTCCTTCAAAACTCTGCTGACAACTACAATACATTCATGTCGTTTCTTTCCTTCGCTAGGTCGGCTGATTGCATCAACCAGTTTTACAAGAGAAGGCTCAAGATCAAGGCTATTCATGTCTACGTCATGGAGAAGATGTGGGATAAAAGCTTCATATAAATTTGACACAATCACCACTTCTTTCTAAAACCAAATCGAAAAAGAGAGTCAAAGAAATGAAGAAAATTTGTAAAATTACTTCTGAGATGAAACATCAAGCTCTCAAATGTATTTATGGCCATCGTGTACTAGAGTACAAGATTAGATTCGTTCTCTACCGAAGGAGATTAGCTGAAGAGAAGGAAGAGTAAGTCTACAAATACTAATTTCTAGTGAGAATTTAACAGAGCCCACTGGATTTTCGTTAGATAGCAGCTTGAAGAACTATCAAGCACGCTACAAAGATATTAACTCTTTATTGTATGGAGATACCTTCAAAAGAGCTGTGGCAGAGAGGAAGGATACTAATGTATCTTGTGATACTAATAATAAGGGAAAAAGAAATTCTAATGCTGATGTAGCTAGTATCAAGAGGTTAAAGACAAAACACAAACTAGAATTTAATGCATATGGACTTCCTGTGCTGAATTTCAATATTACTCAGGAAGAGATGGAAGCTATCATTCGAAGGATAGCAGATATGACCAGCAAGAAGCTGCTCAAGCTAGAAAAACTAGCTAGCTTGTCTAATGATAAGATTAATAGTGATCTTTAACCAACTATCTTTCTCATCTTGGGGTTTTGGGGTTTTGGGGTTTTGGGGTTTTGGGGTTTTGGGG